AAAGGGCAGCTTCCGGTTTTAAAAACATTGCTAATTATGAGCTTTTCTACAATTGTGGGGTATTTTTTCATAATACATCGTATCGGTCAATTTATTAATGCTGCTTATGTTACATAGAATATGTTTCATATCCATTTCAATATTTATGACAAATATGTGACTTTTTCCTCAAAACGTAGTTTTCCTTAACCAGGGTGTGCGGAGTGCGCGGTTTTTAAACCTTAAATGCGGCATTGAAGGAACATTTTTTAAACCGAAAGCTACCCTTTCTTTGGGTATAAAATTTAGACGCCGTTACTTGCTATCAAACAAGTATAAGAACTAATTTTTTTCGTGTGTTTTCATAAAATATATTTGAATTTATAAAGGCAGTCAAAATAAATAATAAAAAGGCATGCTACTTAAGCAGCCAGTTTTCACAATAGTTGCCTTTAGTTAGTGGTCAGAAAAAAGCTTGTTAAAAAGCCCACATTCCATCATGACTTAAATGACTTCAGAATAGACTACATGATAATGCATAACACAACCTGAGTTACTGCCGATTAGCGAAAGAGTATCAATCCTTCGCACATGTCGATGTGTTGCGTGATATTTGGTGAGTACTGCCGTTAACCCACCGTTTACCCGCCTTTTGTTGAAATTCTTTTCTTTTGAAATGCAGTGAAATATCAGCCGCCTTCACGGACACGCGAGCAGACTGCGAGTTGCGCTCACGACAGGCTATAGATCAATCAATAATGTAAATTACAAAGCTATTGCCAGGCTAAGATTTTGACAAGCCAGCTGTTGAATCACAAGCCAATCGTTGCGCTAATCGCGACAGGACTGTTTCTGATTGGTACGATGGACATGGCTGTACACGCGTTAGTTTACTTTTTATATGTTGTACTTAGAACGCTAAAATACCTCTGCTTCGGCGCTTCTCTGGTCCTGTTCATCCTTGGGGACTCACAAAAGACGTAATTGAGCGGTGACATCTCCATTGTGGTACCTTTATAACAAAGGGCAGTGCGCGGACATCACTTTGCTTCAAGGCCGATCAACAGACTATGCAATGACTCGTTTTAAGTTCACAGTCGGAGACCCCGAGTCCGTTTGACGTCAGGCAAGTGTCTCGAGGCTACAAAACCGTAGTCGCCACCGCTACCATCAATTTAGTCACAACAACGAGGATATCAACAACGGCGAGAACAAGGGGGGGCTTTTATTGCCAAGGGTGTCTGATTCGGCCCTCAGAGTAAATCCGCTTCCCCGAGGTCACGAGGATGAAAAATGGGCAGGAGGTACAATAGACAGAAGCAGCCCAAAAACCTCCAGTGTCATTCCCTGGGTTGCAAACAGAATACTGCCCACTAACGTGCATAGGCGGCAGCCTTTGACAAATGAAGTCCACTGCATGGTATATAAAGCGCATTTAAGTCAGGGGAAAGCGTTGCAATTGGTTGCATCACGGCCAAAAAAAATACGGATCTATTGTTCTATTCCGAAACCAAACAGCTGTTCCCAAAATCTGTTATAGTTTCAGATAGGCGTTACAACTTGTTCAATCAGCTAACGTTAGGCAAAGTAAATACAGATAATATTGCCTGGCTTAGAAGCCGATATTAGCCAGTCAGATTTAACCTCAAGTGATGAACCATCCGAGGCTAAATTAATAAAAAAAAATAAACTTAAATAAAAGGAAATATTAAACTAAAGTTACATTATAAGAACTACATGATAAAGTGAGAACAAAGCTATAGTTAAACAGAAAATTAATTAACTATTTGTGGATTAACTTAAATAAACTAGTAAAGATCCTCGTGCGGGGTCACTTTCAT